CCCTGACATCCCTTGAACCAAGTAACTGCGTGCATTCACAATGTTTGGAGGGACCTGGATGCAGTCACAGCCACACCATGCGCAAACACCACCCACCTGCAAAACAGCCGCGTCTCCCTTACCCGCACCAGGCATTCGTCCACCCTGAGGAAGAAAGACATCAGAACGTACCAGCATTGGGGCATGCAGCGAGTCTTAATTTGGAGCTGACAGTGTCCACAATCGTCTAGCTCGGACTCGTACAACACGAAAGTGTCATAGAAAAGTATGGGGTCTTGGGCTACCAGCAAGCTCATGTCCACATCATCTGTTGATGCCTCGCCCCACTGAGGAACTGCAGCAGTGATTGTTGAGGGCGCATCGACGACACAGGAAGCCTGCGCAATGGGGAACATAGAGTCCATTTTATTGACTACCGGAGCTATTCGCAGCAGCACCAGTGGAGGTGGGGCGCACACGGCAGCACCGTGTGATACACATCTGCATATTCTAGAGATGCGCATAATGAAGCGAAAACTCATGCTCACAAAAATTAAACATGCATAAAGGGAAGCCCCAGAAGTGTCCAGACTAACACACACAGAGGCGAATTTGCAGTGCTTGTTCCCGGTTAAGACAAGACCACAACAGGCAGCCTTTGCGCCGTCACCAACCTCAACAGTGTTCAATATCACTGGCTTTGTAATGGTGAATTGGGTTGCCCTATCTCACCTGACTATTGTGTACTTCCAAGCTCCCAGTGTATGGGGTGGTGTATGTCCAATCATATTCCAGCTGGACAGCACCATGCTCTTCTATCTCCTTCTGATGGGATTGCTTCCATCTCTCGGCACCTTTGACCTAGATGACAAATTCACCAGCTTTGAGGTCAATCAGACAGATGTTGGAGTTGGCTTACATTCTTGTGATTTGGATGCATGCGGGCAGAAACAAGGTTATGAATGTGCAAGGAGGTCAATATTATGGCACAGCAACCCACGGTGCTTAACACTGACTTTGTGTCCACGAACTTCTTTCATTCTAATTGTGCTCTTTGGTTGCAACATACCTTGCCCACATTTCTAACTTGCTCCAGTTCTGCCACAACTGCACATAACTTAAACCACAATTTTAAAGACTGGTTGTGGCTGGTTGTGGCTCGCAATGACACAAGCACAATCCACAGCATTCCTGGGAAGGTGATTTGTAGCCAAAACTAAAAGAGGAAGGCTGCAGGGGCAGCTCACTGTTGAGAGAATAGGCACTAGCACAATGTGGGACTCAGTCAGGAAGATATGCATGGGATGTCCCATCTGACAGATCACAAGCCCACAACGTCAGAGCGGTTGCGAAATGTAGACAACAAACTGAGTTTCATTGGTATGCGATCAGTCAGTGGCAATGATCTATACACAGGCTACGCACCACGAGCTCCCCTTCTTGAGCAACAAGGGATAAGGTGACTGCCTCCATGCATTTTCTTGACACAATTAAGGGGCCTCTCTCAGGTGGACACTGTTCAAGCTGCTATAAACTTCAATGCACAAGAAGTTCTGCAACTAACAGCACATGTTTATTCGAACAGTGCGAGAAAAAGGTCGCAGACAGAGGTGCTGTGTGGAGGCTCCCCACAAAACTGTCTGGCAAGCGACCCTAGGCCCGGAAGGAATTGAGCACCCAGTCTGACTGCTACAAAACCAGCCTTTGTCCTTGTATGGTTTTGTGATCCAGGGTACCCAGCAGCATACACAGGCTGGGGAGTGATTGGATGCTCACTTGGCGTGCATATAAGCTCCCCTGCTCGATATGCGCCGACCTAACCAGACCTGCAAAGGCTCCAGGTCCGCCTCCCTCCAGGCTTTGAGGGCATCCAGTGCAGAAAAGTGCAGCTGCACGCCAGTGGCCGTGTGTGTGAAGCTCAGGCAATTATGAGGGCAAAAGTGCAGAAAAGTGCAGCTGCACGCCAGTGGCCGTGTGTGTGAAGCTCAGGCAATTATTACCAAAAACCATCTCTGGGATCGTGAGGACACCTCCAAGCTCAGCCTTGTACTGCTCCACTTCTGAGTCTCCAATCATTGGCCCATGGCAGCTCTCGATCTTCCAACCCCCAATGGCCACGCCATTGGCCACGACCTCCCCCCCTGCCGCCTTTGTGGCTGACAGACACAAATCATGCGATATTTTTTTTGCCACAACGTGCCAAACACTGCCCTTGCACATGCTGGCCAGTTGCAGACTTAACTCCATCTGCACTCTGCATGGATGATAGGCAGGCATAGAGGCAAGGTCGCAGTTCAAAACTTGCCCACCGGCCTCAAGAATCACTTTGGATGGAACCAGATAGGTTGATTTATGTGTGCGGTCCGTTCTGCCTGTTTCTGTCAAGCCATCCCTTTACACAGAGACTACAGGGGCTGTCACTTGGTCATTCAATTCACACGGCCATACTGCGCTGAGAACGTTGCACTCTGCACAGCATTAGCAGCTCCGCCAGTCGACATCACAGTCAAGCAGTTTAGTTTCGCCCTTGGCATTGGCCCCTGGGAGGCTAACGATCGCCCCATCAAGTAAACGCACAACCGTCTTCGACTGATTCCCGAAGCAGCGTCGTTCGTTCCCACCTTGTTCGTCAACAAAAGCGTGTTGTGGCATGGGCCAGGCTCTCGCTGGGTGGCGTAGTCTGAGGTGGACGCTGCGGACGCAGTGGCGCCCGATGCGTATACAAGCGTATGTCCACTGCATTTTGGTTTCCCCGTTGATATGACAGTGACTGGTCCATGATACAAGGACGGTTGCTTGAGCATAATGGGACACGTCTCAGTCTTCTCTCTGTAGCTCTGTTCCCTCAGCTGTGTCTCCAAGCCCGTGGCCATGCAAGTCTCCGACATAGCCCCACCGCAAACTTGGCGCATCACCGTCGTCGCTGGTCACTAATTGCGTCATTTTGTGTGCCCGTTGTGGCCCACTCAGCCTGTCGCAAATTGTACCGCCCTCCTCCGGCACGTACACGAGGTAAAAGGCCAACAATCGTGTAGGGTACTGGAAGGGGGCCTAATGCCTCGATTGCCCTGAGGATGGCAGTCTATACTCCGACTACAGTCTGACATTGTCATCGAAGACTGGGAGGTGCAAAAGAGCTGCTTCTTCATGTGTTTTCATTTGTGCAATCAAATGATCAACAGCAGACACAACGAGTTTTTTTGCTCGACGTTTCGATTCTATTTTTTGCGTCAGGGGTATGCTCAACCTGCCAAGTTGCAAGAAAATTGAAGTGGCAATATTCCACGAACTTGGCATCCCTCACCCTCGCACATATCCGCCCAGCGACCTTCTTCCGGGAAGAAGGAAGAAGTAAGCATGCTCCCACATTGCCATCCCACATAGATCCCCCCGCGCCTCGTGCTCAAATGCACGTTTCTCAGCACATTTCCACACATAATTCTGGATTCCCGGGTCGGTGTGTGATGAATAGTGTACTGTCCACCAGAAAGATTTTGGCGGCACGTCACCAATTCAGAAGCACCTCGCGCACCGCGCTGGACACCGCCGATCCGTCAAGAATTTGTTAGATCCACCGATGAGCACAATATCAAGATACTTCCTGACGAGGACGCTCCGAAAACTTGAATCGAACATGAGATGAGGAGTCGAGCAAGAACCAATCAACACAGGCCGGATCATTGAGTGCCATGTGCACAGATGTTCACCTTCCCGTAGGAGGGCTAGCGGATGGGCATGGCGAGGCTGCGCTATGTGAAACATCTTGCAGGGGAAACTGGGAGCCCGTCGTGGCCATCCAGATGCAAACGTGTATAGTGAGAGAGTACAGCTGCTTTAGCTGCACGAGAAGAGAAGGCTACAAGAAGGAAGCTCTCTATATACCAGAAAGTCCGGATGACATGTGACTTGCGGTGCCAGTACAAATATTCCAAGGCGTGGGGATGGGAACAGGGCCCACGATAAGATAAAGACATCTCGTGGGACCTAAATTGGTTAGATGGCCCGGAAATGTTGAGATCGGGCGTTGGACATTACCTAGCACAAAATAACCAAATCCGTGTTATTCTGCTGATATACAGCTGAAGCATGTGCAATTGTCTGTACATACACATTTGTGCTTTTACTGTCATATTGTAGCATATTTGACATGCAGCTACGCGCCGTACCATTTTTCTGCATAATGCTGTTTGTTTTGGTCTCAAGAAACTTGATTTGCACGCGAGCATTGAATCGGCTGATCGTTTTCGTTCACCGCTGAGTTTTGTCAGGAAATACCAAAAAAAGGCAATGGCGCCCTCTGCAGACTGTGTGCGTTGCATGGCTTGAGCGCTGAATGCTCCCAAGATACACAGGCAAAACTTCCACAAGAGGGAAAAACTACCCCTGTTGTCCTTGTTGCAATTGTTATGGGATTCCACATGATTAGCCATTCATGATTTCTCGTTGTAGAATCAGAACTCGTGGACAGCGGCTTGAGATATTCCTGTATCCGTTAGTTGATCCAATGTGCATGGTAACCTTGACATCGCACTCTTCAATATTCGGTATCTGCAAGCGCTACGTGATGTAGTTAATTCACTCGGCATACAAGAGCAACAACTGATGTTGAGGCCAAGTCAATTCTGCGTTTTGCAATCCTTCATCAGCGACAACTTGCCACTGATAAGGCCTGCAGGGGTGAGTGGTCACTTGAGCACAGATATCCTTGTATGCTCTCCCGACTGTTGGCGACTAGGGAGAGCACAGGACCACTGGGCATCACATTAGTAGTACAGAGAACGTGAGAGTGCTTCAAAAGCTCACAGGTGGGAGTGCTGGATGCTAAAGGTGCAATGGAGTTTGGCCACACTCCCGACGGGTGGCCACTGCCCAAGATGCCCATATATTGAATCCATGCGCAGCAAGCCGCCTTTCTCCACACTGCCGCCAAAGCTTTGCTCTAACCCAGAGGTTGACTTTTGCAGGATTAGTCCACGCGAAATACGGTTGGAGGGTTAGTGGTGCAACAGACGACTGGCAGCATGGTTCGAATCGAGCAACCCGTTCTCGAGGCGGAACCCAACGTGATAAATGAAAAACTGATAAGGTCGTGCACTCAGGTAACGAAAATTGATTAGGCAGTCGCCCCAAGAATAACTTTTGAAATGCTTGGGCCAATATGTTCAGTTCGCTGCTTTGACCGTAATGCATATCATGTCCCTGAGAATGGCGCACCACAGGTAGCGATGGGCACCAGCTTCGTCATCGTCATTCATTCTTGCCAGTCTCAGTTGCATTGCTCATTTGATGTCTTCAGTATTGTCCACAGATCGCTGGAAGGGATCCTGAATCCGTGGAAGAAAAGAAAAGGACGATACCATTCGCAGAGGTCGAGGACGTGTCGTTTAGCTTTAGAAGCTTAGCCGTCATCTCAAATCTCCAAGGGTTGGTGAATCTTGTGAAGCTTCAGCTGGACAACAACATGCTCGAAAAGATAGAAAATTTGGGCCATTTGGTGAGCATCGCAGCCAGATTCCTACCAACACAAAAGCACAAGCTCCTGTCGTGAATCATACATAGAACTCGAGCACTGATTGAGCAAACTTGCTTTCTGAATCGTTCCAATTGAATTGAATGCTGCCCAAACTTGTATTGGCACTTTCTTCTCAAGTATCAGGAAGCGCACTAAGAATACGATTTTATTGTTTCCATTTGTGCTATAGATACTTTAAATTGCTTTGCATGATGTAGTGCATTATGAACCATTCAGGATTGTAGGTTGGGATGGTCACTATTTCTGAGCACACGATGGTCGGCCTCGTGCAGACACGCCTCACGTGGCTGGATTTGTCCTTCAACAACATATCCAAGATCGAAGGTCTGGAGACTCTCACGAACTTAACTGATCTTTCTCTTTTCAACAATCAAGTTGAAGTTATAGAGAACTTGGACACGCTTCAATGCCTCCAAGTTCTGTCAATGGGTAAGTCCTTGGAGCTTCCATGCCTGCTCATGCATTTCCGGTGTGATCCATATTGCCGGATGGAATGGTTGAGACGGTCGTCAGCCGAAAGGGCCGATGCATTTGTAAAAGATCGACATATAACCTGGTCAGTTGTCTTGATGAATTGCATATCTATTCCGAACAAACAATCTGCTTGGCTTCACGCCCATCGTCGCTTACCAGGTGTGCGGGCTGTGCTTTTTCATTTTCTGGCAAATTTAATTCATTGATTTTGATTGTTGAACTGTGGATTCCTTCGATGTATCAGTGAAATTCCAAGAGACTGCCGGCAAGTTTTTGCCGTGGGTGACAACGCTTCCACGTGACATGCCTTCTACTTTTGAAAACCGACCGTTCCCGGATGTGACATTGCACCACCTAAGCCGCACGCTATTTCGGCATCTTTGCGTTGGCGAGGCGGAATGGAGCGAATCTCCTCTCTGTTCAGGACGTTCTGAACTATGTGCCAGTGGCTGCAAACAATCGCATTGCGCCTATGCGTGCTCCAGTCAATGTCTGTTGTCTGCAAACGCCAGGAAACAACGCTTTGAAGAAGCTCAACAATGTTATGTACTTGAGGCAGTTCAAGAGTCTCAGAATCGTGAAGTTGGAAGGCAACCCCATTTGCAAAGACCCTGAATACCGCTCCTACATTCTGTCCCACATCAGCCAGCTGACGTACTTCGACTACCGAAGAGTAAGCCAACCTGACGTGACAGCGGCCTTGGAGCAGCACCAGGTACACGCATTATTCGCACAACACGGTTCAAGCCATTTGTGGAGTGTAACAAGTTTAATATTGCTCATGCACTGTTTCATGCCGAAAGTGTCGTGTGGGTGCAGCGCCTGAGCGAAAGCAACGCAAAGCAAACCTGAGACATTTGATTCCTATGCACACCCCTAAACGCACTGACCAAAATTGCTTAGGGCAGAATGGGATTTGGAGGGGTTAGGGCTTATTTGTCAACGTCAGTGCTCAGGCAGTCGCCATTTCTCTGCTGCATTGCACAGAGCGCAAAAAAGCTCTGCGTACGGTGGAATTTTGCGCTGGTGTTACGCCAAACATACCATTTTGACGCACCTGCACTCTCTTGATATAGATTTCGGTAAACACCGGCGGCTCACCTTCCGCAAAATCAATGCCCATTGTTGGGAACAAACTACATGCATACATTGAATGACGGCAGGAAGAATATGAAAAGTCAGGGTACACATTGTGTCAGTTCGCTGCATCGACAGAACAAAGACGGTGCACATGCTGCATTGAGATTTTGAACAGGAACATTCGCTGGTTGGTTTATAAATCAATGCTGCTGTACTGCTCAACATGCGCAGATTCCTACAATCATTCGAAACCCCTCTTTTCGTCGGTTCCGCCCGGCGCTGCGACGCTTAGAGGGCATCCGCGAAATGGGAGGTGCATTTTTGGGCCGTCTACTGTGTCCAGGATGAAATGATAGAAATTCAAGAGAAGGAGGAAAACCAGGCGCTTGAAGAGGAGGCGGCGGCAGAGAAGGCAGCACACGAGGAGAAAATGAGGGAGACGAATCTGGAGGGAGTGGAAACGCTCATGGACACCATGGTCAAGTGAGAAATGCGCATCCAGTGTGAAAGCCATTTCAAGGCTTTGACAGCAGTGCATCCACCATGGGCAATTGCCGATCTGGTCTGAGCGTTTGCATGGACAGCTGCAGGAACACGCGTGAATGGAAGTAACAATCGGTTGTCGATTTCGATGCCGCTTTTTTGCAACGTGCATGTACTCCATTCTTCCATATGGTCGCGGCATACCGTCAGAAATTCCAAGCATGGATGTTTGGCCCTTCACGCTGAATCTTCTACTTCGCATGGCCGGGCATGGCAGGGGCACAGATAGTTGCGCCGATGTTGCAAGATCCCCAGTTAATTGGAATAAGAAACGAGGGCAATGCAGTCAGTGAATGACTAAAACACAAACTGACTTTCGCAAATTCACACATCTATTTTGTTTCATTTGCAGGGAAGACGCCGAATGGCAAAAGCTTAGCAGAGTTCCTGGGCTCCTGGATGGATGGAACGACATCAGGGACAAGTTCAATGTGGCGACTGAAGAATTCAAGGTGAGAAGTGCACACTGTCAATTAAAGGGCACTCACCAACTCCTTACCACTGGGGAGATCTCAAAGTTCAACATTTTTTGGCACATGGGCGTTCGGCTTTACTCCCGTTAAGCGAATGCGTGCCGCAGCTGCTGTTCCTGAAATGCTAATGGTGTACTTCAAAGAACATTTGGCTGGGTTCGAGCCTGTATTGGCCATTGGAGATGAAAATTGACCGGCGGTGCGTCTCTACGCACAGCGCAAAGTGGGCACTGAACGGTGCACCACAATTTGCCCTCCGCAGAACACTATTCTCGAGCAGTACAGGAAGAAAAAGAGCGAGCACGAAGAGTTCGAGACGTCCCTGCGAGATTTCCTGCACGAAAAGGATACCAAGGCCAGGCAGTACATCACGGAGTACGAGAAAATGAAAAAGGAGGCCATGGGGAAAGTTCGCCAAGGGGAGCCCGGAGAGGCTGAGTACCTCCTGCTGGCGCCGAAGGCGAAGCTTGTCATGCTCAAGCAGCAGCTCATGGACCTCGAGCAAGAGGTCGGAGAAGCCCTGACGGAGCTGTGCCATGAATTTGAAGGAAACTACATGGAAATCACGGAGGCGAACAAGGGTCACTACAACACCTACTTTGCGCAGGTGCGCCTCGCCTTTGGCGAACAACCGGCGAAAATGTGACAGGGCAATGCAAATACAGCACTCTTCGCCATCGAAGCTGTAGAGGTTGACTGTGGCTCGCCGTCTGTCGCCAAGACTTTGTTGGGGCCGCTGGCCGAGGCCTGACTCCGTGAAGAAACGGGGCACGTCAAAGACTTCAGTCGATGTCTCAAGCATTCAGTCCAGCCACCGGAAGCCATCCCAGTTGCAAGCACATGTTCCTGCTGACCTGCGACTCGGAAGCGAAGCTGCCATTTGGAGGCAAGCCCCACAACATCGAACCCCTGTTCATGCACAAGGTGTGCGCACCATGTGGCACACCACCGCAGAGCACCGTCCATTCTTCATGCACAATTTGACAATGGACCGTCCAACCCGCAGGTCCGCGACCTGGAGAACACCTTCGCCAGCCAGGTCACATCCGTGGCGCTGCAGCTCATTGACAAGTTTGCCAACGACAGCAACGAGGTGGACAAGCTGGAGGACGACGTGCGCACCCTGCTGGGCGACAAGGACTTGCTCATCAACGCGCTCCAGGCCTCCCACGACGGGCACACGTCCAAGATTGACACCGTGGAAGACAAGCTGGTGAATCAGGAGGTGTCCAACGCGAACGACCTGATCAACAGCACGGTGGTGTGGGAGGCGCGCAGGAGCCGCGAGCGGGTGTCTGAAATCGTCAACTACGTGGAGAGGAACATGATGGACTTGGAGGAAGCGCAGAGGGAGGACGAGGCAGGCTACGACGTTTGAATCGGGCGCTGCTGCTGATGGCATTGGCCATTGACACTGGAAGCGCTACGTGTCCACCTGTGCTATAAGATTTGCAAACAAGCCTGGAGCATCGAGTATCAGGCCTTGTTCGTCCGCATGAGAGCGTGCGTGTGTGTCTGTGCGGCGATGGCATCCGGCAGAAAGATATGAGGCACCGCCATGGCACCTGCGCGACGATGAAAGCCATGGCTCCTTTCGCAACGCCGTTGTAGAGTGTTTGTCCGCCTCCATTGGGTTCGAACGGTTCTAAAGCAGGTCGAGGAGGCAGCGATCCTGGGGCACTGGGCATGTTAATCCTCGATTACATTTCTCCGGACAAAGCTAGCCTAATCACCAATGTTCAGTGAGGGTCTGAGAGAGGAGAGACTGGAACTCCAGGTCTGCAGTTACAGGCAGCTCCAGCTGGTACATGGCTCCAAAACCACGATCAGCTAATCATCCTAGCTCAAGGGCTCCCTGCCGCATTGCGCTCGAGACGATCATGCACGATTCGCACGCCTGTCAAACCTTCCCTCAACCAGCGCAGGCTTGTCAGTCAATACCTGCTATGGAGTCGATGATCACGCGATAGCCTTCCAGCACAGGCTTTTGGCACTGCACCGCCTCGCAGAGCAGTGCGACGTCCGACTCATCCAACTGGCACTGCTTGGCCAGAAACAGGAGGACATGGAAATCGGAGAGCTTCTCAACATAACTCTTGCCGGGGTGGCCCTGCAAGTGCTTTTTCAGCTCCGTCTTGCCTTGAGGCAGCAGCCTGTTCTCAACTGGAAAGGTGCAGGACAACGGGCCCTGGTGGTCCAGGATCTTGACAGGGCACAGGAAGAAGTCATTGTCGACCTCTGCCACATCCTTTCCAGCAACAATGACAGGGGCTTTTGCACTCGGATCCTGGAATGCGGTCCACAGCAAAGGAGTCATTCCCAATTCAAAACAATCGCATTGCATGAATCGCAACGGACCTAAGTGAGCAGAAAGAGCACAGCACTCTGGGCAGCTATCACTGCTGGGTCATTCCAGAACACAAGAAGATCACAACTTCTAATAGTTCGACATGTAACAACTTGTTCCCAAGATCTGGGCACAAAGTAAAGTGGTGACTCTGATGCACAGTGCAACAGTGCACGTGTCAACGCACCCGTGGATTCCTCATCTTCATCACCCCACAGTGCTCTTCTTGATCTTGTGCGAACCATCCTTCTTTCCAGAGTTTCACACACTGCTGTGAGCATTGATATGCCTGCAGAGCACACCCAGTTCACTCAACAACACACCTTCAGCTTATTTTGAGTTTCTAAAGTGCATCTGACCTTCCACAAAACACACTGCAAATTAAAAACTGCAGCATGGCACCGTCACTCACAAGTGACAGCAACTGACTGAAAGATCTCTACATTAAGTGTTCACAGCTAGCTCTACAAACCATTTACCTCAAAATGAACGTGGCCCCCTTGTTGACTGGTGTCTAAGGACACAACAGCCGTGACGCACTTCTCTCCAAGCTCATCTTGCATAGCTGCCATCTGCTTTAGCTCCCCTGAAGACAATATGAAGTCGCGTTCCTTGGTGCTCTGGGAGAATATCCATCCCAACTTTTTGCACCTGCACAATGAAGGCACTCAACATGAGATTGATGAACGACCAGAGGTTGTACAAAATTTCACTGCAGATGAAGGGCTGTCAGGGCTGTTCCAGGCAGGCTCTCAGCCAACTTAGCTCAATAAGCATCAGGACAGTGCTTGAAAACGCATGAAGTTCATGACCAATTCTGCTCACCCCAGTAGCTGTGCGACAAAATCTGCTTTCTGCTCTTCATCTGTTCCTCGCTCCAGTAGAAGCTGCTCCGTGCTGCCCTCCTGAGGTGGCTCAAACACAAATTGGACCCTGACATTGTTCTCTTCATCCACAGTGCCATACAGTATTGCCCCTCTCTTGATCGAAAATGCTAAGGCTGTTCGCACGTATGCTTGGAACACGTTTGCAGCATGGCGATCGAATGATACAGATGCCACTTTGGGATGCTCCTGTCGTTCGATCCGCATCTGGCGCGACATCATCTCTTCCACTGTCATCTTCTGTCCTACACAAAGCCATCGAAATTGTCAGAGCGGTAAGATAATACCCTCAAATCAAAAAACACAATACAGATCAAGGCATGTAAGAGCTTCCATGTCCTGTGTTGCCCAAGTGTTGAAATTCCAGCACTCAATGAAAGCCCCCAATGTTTTGCAGCAACATAGCATCTGAAAAATTAGTGGAAAAGGAGGGGTTTCGCTTCAATACTTTGCAACACCAGCTACCCCCCCTCCCCCCCCCCCCTCTTTTAGTGTCAATCCTTATGACGAAGCCACGATGACTCAGCATCATTACAATATGGTGTGGTGCCAATTTATTTTGTTTTGAAGAAAGAAAACAGCCAAAACTGCAGGAATTTTAGTGGGCTGAAAACTGAGATGCAAACTGCCATAGCAGATGATGGGGGGCAGTTTTGAAGGCCCCCTTCCAAGCTCATGTCGATTTTGTTGCAAACACATAATCTCTTAGCGTCACAGGTGTGGACCCAAACCCACTCCCCCCTTGCATAAAATCAACGCTAAGCAAAACAATTTCGACATAGTGTCTTCCCTTACCTCACCAAATCCACGAATGTCGAACTCGGACTTCTTGTAAGCTGGTTCCACGTCTCGCTCACCAGAGTACAGGAGAAACAACTGCAAAATTGTAAAGCTATTTGTCAGCAACTGACAATGGTGGACAAGATAGAGATGAAAATAACCACACATACACTGTATGCGTTGAGCTTCTGTTCCTCACCATATCCCCATTTCCAAGCCCCAAGGATGCAAGTTGTGCTTCATCCTTGCCCAGACTTGCATGCTCCCCTGGTGTCTTTGAAAGCAGCTGGAAGTGCACACAACTTTCAGCGCTATATTTTTGAACTGAGATGCAGATGGACAATCACACTTCACACACTGGAGCAGCCCCACTGGTCCAAAACTGTTTTGGGTGGCCCTTCTCTGCTTTGCAGTGCAAAGAGTCGCTGCTGGCAGAATTGAAGCTGGGAACAGCAATGGTAGATTGAAACTCGTATTAAGCCAGTCTTTGCACAGTGGCAACCCACCAATGACGAGTCTTTGGAGATTCTAATATCTCCCAATGGGATGTCCAGCTTGTTGCTGATCATCCTCTTCAGGTCAGCCACTGTGGATGCTTCTGACACCTCAACCCGTTCCAGCCCATCCCTGTGCCGCATGTAATTGAGTCAGAGCCACACACGTGGCTGAAGCAAAGGCAGAAAAGCAGGCAATGGTTGCGCCACTGGCAATCTGCTGCGCAGATCGGTCACCAAGCCTGCGCAGGCGGCTCTCCCAATACCTTCCATGGCAGCAATTAAAAATGAGATGAAAAGATCAAATCCATTTCAACCCCCAAGATTGCAGAACATCACTCTCGCACGTGGTTTTCCAGAGACAGCACAAGGGTGCCGCACAAAACAGCGTGTTGACGCCTGCGGCAACAGGCCGGATGCTGGGAGCAGGCCGAATGTTCAAAAACCACACAATCTGGACGACACAAGCAGGCAAACGGGCTTTCCCAAAGCGGCGCTGGATCGCATGTCCCCAGATGGGGCAGTGTGTGGACAACGTCCTGCCGCGCTTTGGCATCACAGAAAGATGCACTGATTGCAAGCTCCCCACACCTGTCTAGCTTCCCTGACCACTCACCTCGATCGCAGCCTTAGAATCATGGCAGCGGCCCCACGGCAGGCGCCGAAACAGGGGGGGAGGGTCGGCAAGCAACGCTGCGGGCTGTGTGGGCCAAGCCTCCCTCCAAAGCGCGGCCAAGGGCGCCAGGTGTTGCAGAACCATCCAGGTGCGTCTGCACGCATTTATGACCACCCCAGCGCCCATTACGATCGCATTCCCAAACTTGATGGGAGTTTGGGGCACCTCGAGAAAGCGACACAGTTCGTTTGATGTATTACCATCGACTATCACTTCTAAGCATCCATAGTTCATAGATGATAGCTTTAGTTTGTATTTATCTTTAGATTTCAATGAACCAATCACCGACTCTGCTTTGCTCAGGCAAAATAGGAAGCTGGCGGCTACCTCATTGCCCCGTTCTGTAAAAATCATGATGATGATGATGATGAAAGCGACACAGAAACGCGACCACTGAGCGGCATTCTTAACATGATTAACGGAGGTTAATGAGCGCGGACGCGCCAGGACCGCGTCTGATGGGTTAAAGTGCACAGCACGGAGACCGAAGCTATCGCTCCTCGCGTCAAGCGCTGCGGGCCATAACCTAGCGCGACCGTCGCCGCCAGCCTGCTGCGGAAGCAAGCGCAAAGGATGGTAAGCACGGCGGCGGGGAGAGCGAGCCGCGCTAGCAGGAAGCGGGGAGAATTTTGCGACCAACCCTCTCGCATCGCGGCTCGCCCACGGGCAGCCCCGGCGCACCGCGGTCTGCCCGCACGTTGGGTTCGCAACAAATCGCCGGGAGCGCCCCGTCCTCCTGTGGCGTTTGCGCGGCGCTCGGGCCGCGCCCTTCGTTTCCGCGACCGCGGCACGTTGCGCGCTCAGCCGGCGCGCATACCGGTCGGGCGCGGACCACCTCCGCCATTGGCGGCGCCTAGTTTCTCTCCGGCTACGCTCATCGCGCACGGGCCGGCTCAGCCCGCCCACCGGCACGCCGGTCAAGAGCGCCCGCGCACGGCGGAGCCCTGTGACGGTGAACACCCGCCTCGGGTGACAACTCCGGTGTCGTGCCTCAGCGCCCCGCTCATCGCGGGGGCGATCGCGCAGCGCACATGGCGCTCTGACAGCTCACGGCGGTCCCCCTTCTCAGGCGGATCACTTTGACCCCCACATGGAGGAGTTGGACTACGATGAGGCTTCCCCACGGGGGCCGGGCGCGACGCCCGAGCCCCTGGAGGAAGCGGCCGAATGGGAGCACGTCCCTGCGGAGATCGTTGACCAGCCCTCAGCGGGCGAGAGACCAAGCTCATGGGTGGAGCATGCCCAGCCGGAGGGACAGATAGAGCGCACGGGCGCCAACCTGACCGTCCCGCGTAGTGGCAGGTAAGCCTCAACGGCGTGGCAATGCGCGGCAGCCTCATCGACTCCAGCATTCTCGCCAAGCGCCGCCGCCGCTCGGATCTCGATCAATCCGTGCCCGAGCCAGCGCGTGACTCCGGGCTGCGAGCCTTTCGCTTAGCGCGGACGCCGCTCACCTTCCACCACTCGCTTGCACTACGGTCGTGGGTTTCCATGGCGGGCGAGCTTCGGCGCCACACGGCCTCGCGTTAGGGGCGTACTCCAAGGGGGCTCGAGTATTCGACGGTGTCAGGATCCCGCACCCTCTTTTGTCACCTCGTTCGCGGGGTACGTGAACGTATCGCGCCGGCTGCGGTCACCCCGCACGGTGACGTCACGCCCGGTCTCCAGTGCCATCTCTCGTCACACAGGTGGCGCCATGGCGGAGGCCAGCTCTCTGCCCCAGAAGGACCCGACGCCGCGACGGCCGAGTTTCCGCTCCGATTCCATGACATCGAGCAGGAGTTCTCTGTGGCCGACACTCTCTTCGAGGTCGCCACCGCGCGCCACCTTGGGCCGCCGCCGCGACCGCTGCATCTGCTCACCATGACTCTCTGCGAGCACATGGGCATGGTCGACATAGTTCAATACGCTTCACACGAGGTGTTGGCCCTTCGCCCCGCCTCTTGCCCGCCGTGGGCGACGCCCATGGAGGCGGCTCATCGCCAATGGTTTGAGGTACATCTCCCCGCCGTCACCTTCGACGCGACGGCCGTGCAGAGGGACGCGTCCTGGGTGCCCTCCAATACTAGCTTGGCGCTCATCGCGCCTGAGTGGGTCTTCGCCCATGCTCACTTCGAGTGCGTGGCCGAACATGAATTGCCGCCCTCCCTCAGCGTGGGGCCAGGGATTAGGCCTAAGGATGCGACTCTGCCGCTGATTCGGCCGCAGGCGCAAGACCGCGACGGCTTTCATGTCCCGCTGCTGCGTTTTCCTATCGACACGCTACCCGCACCGGGTAAATGTGTGCATGTCTACACCTTTCGCAGCCTGCGGCGTGCTGACCATAGCGCAGCTCGCGTCGCAGCACAGCTCCGTGGTCGTTGGGGAGAGCGCACGGCGGCAGCCGCGCCGTCTGTGGCGCAGCAGAACGCCTGGTGGCGCCAGCCGCCCCAGGGTCGGGCAGAGCAGCTGCCGAAGCGGTCTCGGTCAACCCAGCCGCAGGCGTCACCGCGCAGCATGCACGCGGCCGCTACTTGGGATGCAGCTGTGTCCGCAGAAAGGGAGCGAGCTCTGCACGACGGCCCCGACCCGCGCGCTCTTCGCGCGTCAGGGTCTGCTATTCCGAAATTGGCTTCTCTGTGGGTGGGGGCGTCGGCAGCGGGTGAAGGCAGTCATCCTGTCGACCCGGAGTTGCACCGCCCCCCGGCGCGCGTCCCTACTCCCCCCACTCCGTTGGGGGCGGGAGGGACCTCCGCGCCTGCCGACATGGAGTGGCTGAAAGAGCCGGAAGACGAGTTCCACACTCGGGCATCCTCCTCGGCCACAGGGGTATTAGCGCCGCGACGGCGCTTTGTGCTCGGCCGAGGATGCCAGCCATTCCGGTCCTGCAGCCGTCACGCACGGTGGCGCTTCTTGGCCTACGATGAGGCGGGGATTCAGGGCTCTTGGAGCGGGCTGTACTCGGCGGCGAGGAACCTCATCGGGATCCACTCCAAGTCCCCGGGAGTCAACCTCCTGTGCGCCGCCGAGACCGTGGACTAGGTTCTGGCCCGCGCAGAGCCTGTCCTGTTCCCCGGCGAGGACGTCCAGCAGGCGACAGCCGCCTTGTATAACGTTCTTCGCATTATCACCCCCATCCTCGGCCTTGCTGTGCGTGTGGCCAGCCCTCACGCACGCGTTTTCGACCATCAGGCCTGCGCGCAGTGGGTGGCCGGCCTCGAGGCGGAGCTCTTCGCTCTGAACGAGGCCGGCTACATAGATGTTCATCACATCTTGCGGCAGCTGAGGGCCAGGTGTACCGCACTAACCGGTACCCGGGGTTACCGACAATCCCCCTACAGTAACCGGCCCAAGAGGGCTACGGTTACAATAGTGTAGGGGTTAGAGTGCACAGACCGGCACTAGGGCGGTGGCCACCGGTACCTGGGGTACCCCCAGGTACCGGCACTCGGGTGTGGCCCCAAGTACGTAGTACTTGGGGTCCGGTGCTGGGTCCCGGCTTAATGGCCTTCGAGCGCCCGCACCGGTAGCTCTCTCTCACCCCCTGTTGCGCGCTGCCGCGCAACATCTGGTTTCGGAGCCGGGCTCTCGCGAACCCGGCGGCCTTTTTCAGCCCCACCCACCCCTCGCGGTGCGGCCCCCCCTCCTCGATTGCAGGGCCGCTCCGCCTCCCTCCGATCGCCGCCTTCGCCGAGTTCAAGTCCTCGCCATCGCCATGTCCGAGGAGGCGACTTCCAGCCAGCCCATCGGCGGCGACGGGGACGATCGGCCACTACCGGCCGTTTCTGCGGCGCAGCCGGGCGGCGTGCTCTCCACGCAGCCGATCGCCTCGCCCCTCCAGGCCCATTCGGCCGAGGGGGGCACCATTTTCGAATCGGTGGGGGGGGAGCTGCCCCCCACCTCCATTCCTCCTAGGGCGAGTACGCCCCCGCCGGTGCGCCCGATCGTTGGGGCGCCCGATGCTCTGTCTCGCAGCCCGAACCGGCCCCCTCGCCCCACTGTTTTGGGGCCGCCTGCACTGCCTAATGCCCACGATCTGGCCGGGCAGCTCCTGCCATTTTTGGAGGAGCATATCCGGCAAATGTTGGCGGGCGTGGGTCCCTCCAGCCGCCTGCCCCCCTTGCCGAATTCCGGTCCGATCACGGCCCCCACCCCTACCGCCCCGCTGCCCATTCTTTCGGCGGCTGAAGGGGGGGCCCTCTCGGATTCATTGTCTCCAATTCCCTCCTCCTTGGCGGGTTCTGTGGCGGCCTTGGCTGTGGCCCCACCCGCCTTGGGATTGGAGGCATTCTCCCATCTTGGGACCCCGCTGAATCCCCCGATCGGCTCCCTGCTGCCTGCTGGCTCGGGATCCCGGGGTACCTTGTCTCCGATTCCCTCCTCCTTGGCGGGTTCTGTGGCGGCTGTGACTGTGGCCCCACCCGCCTCGGGCTCGGAGGCGCTCTCCGGTCTTGGGAGCCAGCTGGGCCCCCGCTTGGCGCCTTGCTGCCTGCTGGTTTTGGATCCCGGGGTGCTGCCTTGGCTGTGCCGCCCCTCTCTGCTCTCCCACAGGTTGCCCCGCCATCCCTGGGATCGGCGTCCACCGACGAGCTCTCTCGCCAGGTGGTATTCCTTCAGGGCCAGCTGTCCGCTCTAGCGGCCCACCCTCGCGGCTCCCTTGCTGGCGCATCCGGCTCCCCTCCCCTGCCTCGGGGGGTGCCTTCCTTGCCGACCTTCTCTGGCGATCCCAAGGGCGATCGTTGGGACCAATTCCTGGTCCACTTCGACACCCACTGCCGCCTCTGCCACCGTGACCACGACGACGCCTACCGCATCAACCTCCTCCCGGTCCTCCTCAAGGGGGCCGCGGCGGCTCATTGGCGCCTGCACCTCCAGGCGAATCCCGCCCCTGCTACCTGGGAGGAAGCCCAGGCTGTGATGCGGTGCGGTCCTTTCGCGCGTCCCCCCACCCTGCTCGGGCTCACACTCCAGATCCAGGAGTTGG